TCGCCTTCTTCAAACTCGTTGTTGAGACTAGTAAACATGTGACGGTTCTCCTCCATGAAATGTCGGATTGACAAATCCTCAGTCGGACCAGCTGTGGACGGCAGGGTTTCAGACTCATTGATGTCTTCAGCACCGATTTCTTGGCCACCGTCAATGCAGGCCACTTGTTCTTTCACAAAGCCGGGTGGAACATCCCCTTCTTGATTCCTTCCTCGCGGAGGCATCATGAACACATGTGTCCCACCGTGTGTGCCAATTTGTTTCAATGGCGAAACACGTGTGTTTAATGCGCTCTGTTATCAAGGAAAACAAGAACACAAGATCAAAGAACGACTGTCAAATATCCATCGTCGGGCGTCGGCGATGTTGATTTCATTGATCTAGTTTTGACTTCTAACCAAGAATGATCGTTACTCGGTTCACACCTCTCCAAACAATGTTAGAATGAGGGTATTCGATGAACAACAAGGAACAAAAGAGGATTTCTAGGTTACGTTACCTCTACTCCTATGGAGGTTTCTCTGGAGAGCTTCGCGACTACGAGTACAACTACGATCTACTACGACTCTGCAAAGGAGATCTTTGACAGAGTGTTCCTATGAAACTAGATAGAAAAAAGATAAGTCTGCGATGGTGCAGTTTGTGATTTGATTTTTCCGTTTCCAGCTTCTCTCTCATCCCGATGTTTATACCCCAATCTTCACTCCGTTGTCGTAGAAACCGCCTTCGTGTCTTTATCTTCCACGTTCTCTAATTCTCAATTGTGCAAGTAAACTTCCACCTTGTTGCGTGATACCCATGTGCCCGCGAAACCGCTCAGCTATGTGGAATCTTGGCAAAAACAAAACGATACTGAGCTAAATCATATACCTCCCCACCCTGGTTAGATACTCCAAACCAACCTTGTCAACAGAATAAATAACGAAGTTTTTCTTGCTTAAACAACGTTGCTCCTTTTCACAAAATCTCAAGCTCATCGAGTTCGCGGCATCGCCAAATACACGCTATTGCTGAACTCTCGCCACCACGACGTTGTTTTTACCTAAACAACATCGCCTCCTCTCCTAGCGGTGTCGTTGGATCTTTGTGATGTTAAGCTTGTCTCACGACGTTGTTCTCCGCAACACTATTGCGTTGTTGGAGCTACAAAATTGTTTTAGCTAAAAACAATGTCGTTTTTTGATATTGTGTCAACGACCTTGTTGAACTCGCAACACCGTTGTGCTTCACGACATCGTTGAGCTTTCAGCCTCGCTCCGTTGTTTTATGAGACAACATCGTTTTAAGTATTTGGATCTCAACTTTCTACAACATTGTTTTTGGTTGAACAACGTCGACCCTTATTATTGTGGTATTGTAGGTTCTTTGTGACACCGTTGGGTTTATCTCACAACGTTGTACTCCACGAAACAACGTCATTTTCTACTACCACGACATTGTTTATGTGAAATTTCACAAAACACTGTCGTTTCTTAGTACAAAAGTACCGTTGAGGATTGACTTCTCGCAGCGTTGTTTTATTTTACAAGTAACACTGTTTCTAATTCCACAACGGCGTTGTCACGTAACCCTGCAACGTTGTTTTTGGCAAAGATTCAATATTTCTCTCTCTTGCAATATTGTCGAGGCGATACGATCTAATCCTCTCCTTCTTCAGTAAGGAATAAAAATCGCTCCTTTTCTAACTCCAACACTAACATTGCAAAACCGCTCACGACATTGTTTTCTACTAAACAACATCGTTTCGAGTACCACGACATTGTTGAGCTTATTCGCAATATCATTTTCTTCCCCAAACATCTTTATTTGCTTTTTCCTCCGCTACATTGTTTTATATTAAACACTGTCGTTTCTAATCCGTTATGTTGTTGGAACAACGTCGACCCTTATTATTGCGGCATTGTAGGTTCTTTGCGACACCGTTGGACTTATCTCACAACGTTGTACTCCACGAAACAACGTCATTTTCTACTACTGCAACATCGTTTATGTGAAATTTCACAAACCATTGTCGTTTCTTAGTACAGAGGTACCGTTGAGCATTGACTTTTTGCGGCGTTGTTTTATTTTATAAGCAACATCGTTTCTAATTCCACAACGGCATCGTACGTAACCCTGCAACGTTGTTTTTTGGCCAAGATTCAATATTTCTCTCCCTTGCATTATTGTCGGGGCGATACGATCTAATCCTCTCCCTCTTCGGTAAGGAATAAAGATCACTCCTTTTCTAACTCCAACACCAACATTACAAAGCCGCTCGCGAAATTGTTTTCTACTAAACAATGTCGTTTTGAGTACCGTGACGTTGTTGAGCTTATTCGCGGTGTCGTTTTCTTCCCCACATAGCTCCGTTTGCTTTTTCCTCCGCGACATTGTTTTATATTAAACACTGTTGTTTTCTAATCCGCGGTGTTGTTGATACTTCTTACGACGTCATTTTCAACTAAATGACACCGTCCAAAATAATCATTAAAAATATTAATTAATTGAGTTGGCCTTTCTCGAGAACTCGGCCAACACTAAGTCGTCTTTGAATTAAACATTGTCGCTCTAGGTTCCGAAAGCCAGATTGTCTAATCGACTTTGTTTGCCAGTATCGCGGCATTTTTGGGATTTTGACGATGTCGTTTACCACACGACATCGTGAAATCCCTCCGCAACATTGCTTATCACTAAATGGTGTCGTTTCTCTCCTCTTCCGACAAGGACTAAAAAACACTCATTTTCCAACCCCAACAGCAACCTCACGAAGCCAAATCAATTCACAGCCCAAGCTCGCACATTGTTTTTACCGATCGTTTCCATTACCGCGCTACCATCAAGCCTCTTCGCGGTGTCGTTTAAACTCTCCGCGACATTGCTCGACTCCAAACGACACTGTTTTTTGCCATGCGGTATCGAATTAAATGCCGAGACTAATTATATGAGACATTTAATTAACCCAAAATAATTTTAAGGTTTCAACACCACCATACATGATTGACTCATATACCACTATAACTCACATGTCATATTCTTATTCGACAATGTTACTAAACTTTACCAATATCATTCAGTTTTGTATCATCATCAATTCATCATATACAACAATTTCATGCGTTGCGCATAAACCAAGTTATCTTAGAAAGAAAATCGTCTTCCAGTCAACTCAACGGTTTACAGATTCATGTAACCATATCCCGACAAGATTGCTCTGCCAACGGACCAGGCTTACGGCCCGGAGATCGGTACTTTGTGGCCTACAGTCTCTTGGGGCCGATTCCAGAGTTTGACTTCGCGGTGTTTGAAAGGTTCGATTGGATGTGTCTAACAATGACTTGAGTAGGCCGAGCAATGTTGCAATCTAAGCTCTTGGGCTTTATTGTAATGGGCTCTAGTTTCTTTTCGGCCCTTCAAGCTACTTCTTTAATTCTCGGCTGATCCTCATAGGCCACAGCCATAGCCATAGCCATAGCCATAGCCCATAAGTAAAGCTAGGACAGCTCTGTCAGTTACTTTCTTGCTGATACCATACCATTACCATAGCCATATGTACACTTCAAGCAATTTCTTGGACAGGTTCCAGCCTATGTTCTTCCTCTGTAATCTAGTGTAACTTTCGGCAAATTTTCAGCTAGAATCCTAAACGTTCATATGTTTGAGTGACGGATCTATCCATCTTTAGAGCAAAAAGACACATTCCCTTGAATGGAATATCACAAAAGAAGAAACTGAGGAACAAGACTTCGAACTACTATTCAATCAACTAAAAGATTTGAATTTTAATTATACTACCTCAACGAGCATGCAATCATAACTCCTATCAAGTATCAACTAAGCAGAGAGACCTTATGCATTAAGGTTAGGATTACAATAATGAAACTACCTCACTATCAATGAGATAATCTCGCTATGAAAAGTTAATGTAATACAAAGAAATTTATGCACATTTCCACGGAATCACAACAATGATCACAGATGCAATAACAAATAATAAAAAATATTATGGGTTCACATTTCATCATATCAGTATAGATGGACGGATATTTCAATATTCATATCTAATCGCGTGATAAGCATATTCATTTCCCCTTCTCCCCCAGAATCGTAATTCCACTATGTATCACTGCCGATGTTTAGAAATGGGTAACGTTGTCTCTTCCGGTTACCACTGCTGCTGATTCATGGTTTTCTGAGATGTGAGCTTCACCAAGGGTTGATTTGGTTTGTGGTTGGGGGTTGTTGGTGGTGGCGTGGTGTTGTTCTCCTTTGCGTTGTTTTTGGGTTGTGGTGGGTTGGACTTTGTTGTCCGTGTGGCTTTCTTGGGGTGTTTTTTGTGGGTGTTTGTTGTCTTCCTTTTTTCTTGATTTGGCGGGGTGTTCTCTGTTGGGTTCTTGGATTGTGTTGGGATTTCTGGTTAGTTGTTCTTTGGTGTTCTCTGCGTGGGTTCGTGCCTTTTTGTGAGCTTTCAGCTCTTGTTGTGCTCTCCTCTATTTTATCATGTTTTGTTCTGGCAGCGATTTCCTTAGTCTTGCTTCAGCTTTGAGTAATCTGGTTTCAGTCCTGTCCACCGCCATGTAATCTCAATTTGTGATTGATTGTGATGGGTCGTCTTCGAACAACTCCCAGGAGGCGGCATATGGTGTTGCTCTGTTCAATTGTCATGGTCAAATCTGATTTGGATGAGCTGAAGTTTGCTTCTTGCCACCCGGACGAATGAGGTTGCAAAGAGTGTTTGGATACTCTGTGATTTGGCTCATGAAAGAGATCTTCGTTTGATCATGTTATATTTTTCGCTTTTGTCTTTGAGGATGTCCCTCTAGTTTTCAGATCTCATGATGTTTATCCCTCTTTCTAACCGAATTTTACTGAAGTACAATTCAAACTACCTCTTTGTAAAAAAAAACACGAAAACGAAAACATCTATTAGTCTTTGAATTCACAACTTGGTAATCCACGCACCTTTGAAAAAAAGTGAGGTAAGTAGCTCTATACATACACATTCTCCATACTCCATAGTTTTAATCTAACAAAGAAAGAACACTCCAAGAAAGTTAACTAAGTTGTCTTTATCCAAAACGGTTAGTTAATCTCCCCCGTAATATACAGAAGAACCCATTTCCATTCAACCAAGAAAAAACCCAACTCTTGCTCGATTCAAAAAATGGCTGCAGTTCAATTCATCTTCTCCTTGCTCCTTATCTCACTGGCAACCCAATTCCCGCCATCAACCTCCGAATCCGAAGCAGCAAAGCAGAGCCTGGTCAATTTCATGGCGAACCTCTCCGGCGGCAACTTCCCGACCCACAAATACGGGTGGAACACGACCTCCGACCCCTGTCGCTGGCTCGGCGTCCACTGCGACGCCTCCCAATCCGTGATGTCGATTTCCCTCTCCGGGTTCCAATTCGCCGGAACACTCGACGCCGCCGGAACGCTCTGCTCCGTCGTCGAATCGCTCGCCGTCCTGATCCTGCGAAACAACACCATTTCCGGCGAAATCCCTGAATCGTTGGGTAACTGCACGGGTCTGACCATCCTGGCTCTGGACGACAACCGGTTCACCGGGTCGATACCCGGTTCGATTCTCCGGTTGAGAGACCTGACGGCGCTGGAGATTTCGCACAACGAAATCTCCGGCGAGATTCCTGAAGGTCTGGCCGGGATTCCGAGGCTGGTGTTCTTTCTTGCTGAGAACAACCGTTTATCCGGCGCGATTCCGCAGTTTGATTTCCGGGCAATGGCCCGGTTCAATGTTTCGAATAACGAGCTCGTCGGGCCGATTCCTGAGGGGACCGGCCGGTTTGGTGCGGAAAGTTTTGGTGGGAATCCTGGGTTGTGCGGGAAGCCGCTGGAGAATTCGTGTCCGGGATGGGCGCCGCCGCCGGCAAGTGAGGTTCCGAGTCCGGCGAGGTCGCCGGAGCAGAAGGGGACGGGGTTTTGTTCTGGAGCAGGGGAGGGATGGGTTGGGTTGATTTCAGCATTGGGTTTCTCGTTTCTTTTGATTAGATTTTTCTGATGATCCATTTTCATATAAGAGTCTTCTCTTTTGTTTCGTTAGGTAGAAGATTTAGTACGTCCAATAAAAGGAATGTAACACTTGTTGTTTATGACTTCTGTTTTACCCCACTCCCCCACATGGAAGTAGAGGGGAGATTGTATCAAATTGTTCCATCTAAAAAAAGGTGTATGCATATTTATTTATAAGTAATATATGAAAGAATCGTTTTTGCTAATCGACCTGAAAATTAAAATCTATTAGGTTGTTTAGAAACAGTTTTTGTTATGATCTTTTTTTATCTTTACTATTTTGTTTAATTGTTGATGGCAGCAAAATCTCCCAGTAATTGCCCTTACTCGCATGCAGAAGAATATTGTGTACGTGTCAAAGTACCAATAAACAGAAAATTATGAGTCTCAACACAATCAATAATTGGGTGCGTAAATGAATAACTTTTTCTCATGACTTACATTCTTAATAAAGATCAAGTTTTATGCTATCAAATACGCGAAAACTCGTTATGAATAAGTTCAACACAACAACGATAACTATAAATCAACTAATTTTCCGACCTTCTTTGCAATGAATTAAATTAGGAAAATTAAACTATGGAAATTTGTGGATCGGCTGGATAAGTCTGTTCCTCGTTTGGTTATCCCCTGGAATAAATAAGCCCATGGGTAGAAATTTGGAATGGGCTTGGGCCCATCAAATGATTTTGGAAACCTGACAAGAAAACCATCCAAGTCCTTACCGTTTACGGATTCAGGTAGATTCTATCTAGGGATGGCAACCAAACCCGAACCCACGGGTACCCACCCGACCCGTGGGTACCCGCCCACACATATAATTAATTTTCTCGGTATATTTAATATTTTAAACAACTAATCTTATTTATGTTTGTGGAGATATGTCTAATTTTTTCTTTCTAATGGTGTAGAATGAAGTTTGTGTTATCGAGTGGACAGTGAAGAAACTTAATTGAAAGGAAGAAGCCTTCAATTAATCATGTTATTTATGGATAATTTATGATTTATTTCAATTTTCTTGAGTCTTCTAGATTGGTGTTGAACAATTTGTATAGTTAATTTGTGATTTGCTTGAATTTTCTAGAATGGTGTTTTAAATATGGATAATTTGTATTGAGAGATTGATATTTGAGATTAATTTTGATAGGAACTTGTTATTGTAAATTTTTTACGACAAAAACCCGTGGGTACCCATGAACCCGCGGATACCCAGCGGGTTGGGTTGGGTTTGAGTTTTTCAAACCCAGTGGGTTTTACCCCGGATTTTTTTCACGGATAAACCCATGGATTTGGGTTTGGGTTTGGCAAAACCCGACCCAACCCGACCCATTGCCATCCCTAATTCTATCTCTAGTCCAAACTACGAGTCCCATGTTCAGTCTACAAACGTAATGAAATGGACTTTGCTCTTCATGAAACTGACCGTTACACCGTCCACCATTGTTCGTGAGCTTCATAAACATACACAACATAGGTCTTCCTGTAGCTCAGTCAAACTTCAAACACAACTCAGCAAGAATTTCTTATTCTGTCATCTATGGCCATTCGCCAACCCCTTCCATCAGCAAAACCATTATAAATGCCTACACATTTCAACTCAGCCAAAAATCAGAAAGCAAGAATTAAAGGAATATACACATTCATCACACACTACGTTTGAAAAGAGTAAAAAACAATGAATCCAATTCGAATTCTCGTACTCGGGCTTCTCGTCATCTCGTTGGCGGCTATGATCCCATCGTCGAGCTCCGAAACAGACATGGTGAAGCTAGCGTTGGTCGATTTCATGAAGAAGCTCACCGGACCCAGTTCTCCGGCGCATAACAATATTTCGGGATGGAACATGACAACCGATCCTTGTCGAAACGAGTGGCACGGAGTCCGCTGCGACACATCCGGATCTGTGGTGGGGATTTACCTCTCTGGGTTTCAATTCTCCGGAGCTCTGGACTTCGAATCCCTCTGTTACGTCGACTCTCTTTCCTTGTTGAAACTGCCAAACAACACCATACGTGGATCGATTCCCGGAGGCATTTGGCGGTGCATCAATTTATCCATACTCGATTTGAGCAACAACCGGTTCGCCGGTCCGATTCCTGATTCGATATGGAGCCTCCAGAATCTGACCCTCCTCGATTTGGGCGACAACCGGCTTTCGGGCCCAATTCCGGAATCGGTTGGAGAGCTGCCGAGTCTAATGTTCGTGGACCTGCACGACAACCAGCTTTCTGGCCCGATTCCTGAATCAATCGCGAGGTCCACGGACAGGGTGAGCGGCCTGCCGCTGAGAATCTTCCGGGCCGAGAACAACCGACTCTCCGGCCCGATTCCAGGGTTCGATTTTTACATTCTGTCCGAATTCAACGTGTCCAACAACGATTTGACCGGACCGATTCCTGCCCAGGCTGCTAGCAGCGGGAGTTTTGCGGCTGATTGTTTCATGGGTAATCCTGATTTGTGCGGGGAGCCACTGCCGTATTCTTGTCCGCCGCCGCCGCTTCCGAGCCCGATTCCGTCTGGGTCGCCTGGTCGGACCGGATTGGGGCTTGTAATGATGGTTTATGGCAGCCTGGGGGTTTCTGTTTTTTCTTTCTTGTTTCGATTCATCTGATTTAACCATCCATGGATGATGGATGTAGCTTTGCCAACAGGGCACATAACCGAGATTAACCGGTAATTTGAAATCACCATACCATATTACGGTACCATGGTAAATATTTTTCATTGTATCAATCAAAACATGGTTTCTTTCACGTTTATCACGAAAATGTAAATAACTTGTGGGAAAAAATGTTAATAAGATCTAATCATTTGCATTTGAATTTTAAAAATTACTTGAGAGAATTACTACTACTATGATATTCGAGATAGCATAGATACACTAATTAATAAACAAGCAAAATTAATTAGTAGGTGAGAAGGAAATCATAGAGATTGATGGTCAATGCACATATCATAGCTGATTTTGCGTCTAAATGAAATTTTTTATTAAGATGGAAAGATATCATGTTAGATTAATTTTGTTAACATTTGACATAAAAATGTAAGTTATAGATAATATATGTAGAAATTTACAATAAAGAATGATTCAAATCACACCAAAATTGTATAGATTTTACTACGCGGCTCAATAACCTCTTATTTATATACCAGACCTCTGATCATGAATCACCAATAAAACAATTAGTAGTTCTAGACAAAGGAGTGAAGCTCTCAGCCTCAACGCTCTACAATCATGTGACAACAAAAGCAAAAGAATGGGCTAAGGTGTGGGAAGCATCAACCAAGGCGAATGACATAGCAGCCCCCAATGAAAGAATCGACACTTTGATTGGTTGGAAAGCCCCAAGATCGGCTGGTGGAAGCTTAATACTGTGCAGCTCAAACCAATCTCGGAATTGCAACGACTGGAGGAGTTATTAGAAACTGTCATGGAGATTGGGTTAGGGGGATTCTGCCGTAAGTTGGGACATGGTACAACCCCAATGAAAGAATCGACACTTTGATTGGTTGGAAAGCCCCAAGATCAGCTGGTGGAAGCTTAATACTGTGCAGCTCAAACCAATCTCGGAATTGCAACGGCTGGAGGAGTTATTAGAAACTGTCATGGAGATTGGGTTAGGGGGATTCTGCCGTAAGTTGGGACATGGTACAACCCTAATGGCAGAACTTTGGGGTATCTACAAAGGACTTCAGTTGACATGGAAGAAGGGTGCTCAATTTATGATTCTTGAGTCGGACTCGCAGCTGGCTCTTGACCAACTCAGCAAACTTACTGATGTTGTCCACCCCTATGTTGCTATTTGGAATGATTAGACGAAGTCTTGCTCAAAGTTGGGTGGTTCAAATGGTTCATACGTATAGAGAAGGGAATAGATTCGCGGACTGGCTCTCGAAGCAGAGTCTCGTCTATCCCTTCAGTACATATGAATTAGATGAACCTCCAACGAATCTAAATAGCATTCTCATAGATGATATCTTGGGAGTCAGCTTTCCAAGACTAGTACAATATCAAAGAGAGAACACGTAGACATGTTTTGGGATAGGTCTAGTTTGTCTGCAGTGTACCTTTTTTTTGCTGCATGAATTTGAGTAGGCTTCTAGGTTGTGCGGCTGAACTCCCCTCTAAGCTGAGTGGGTGGCACCGCCACATCCTGTACTCTGTTTCTAGCTTTCAACTTCCAATTTATAAAAAAAATTACTAGTTCTAAACAAAAAAAACAACAATTATTAGCTCCTCTTCCATGTAGGCAAGTTAAACATTTTAGCAGATTTTGCCTATTTATAAATAGTTATAACCAATGAAGTTAAACAGTATAGCTTAATCTTAAAAGTTGACTTTCAATTTTCATTTTTAAAGTTCGTGATTTTACGGTTTTATCTCCTCAAATATAATATTTTTCTTTGAATTTTTTGGCACCATAAGCTTAATATAAGCTCATTGGAATTTCTATAAGCACATTGATTCAGGTCTAATTGTACATATTTTGCCCCTCATTTCTTGATAGTTTGACTTTGCACTTCATCGTCCCTCGACATATTTCACGCTAGGTTGTGCTTGCTTTGATACATTTCAGGTCCTAGCACGTGTGTAAGGGTCGAGGACGAGTTTTGGGACGATTGGAGGAACCAGCCGCAGTTCACGTCAGAGCTGCGAGTTCACGGTCGCTAGGACCGTGAACTAGAACCACAACCTGTGAACAACAAAGCGTCCAGAGGGGTATTTGAGGTTACTGAAGCTAAGGCAGTTCACGGTCGCTAAGACCGTGAACTTGAACCACAAACCGTGAACCCCAGAAGTGAAGCGATGCATTTTGATCCATCTCACTAAGTTCACGGACGTATTCTAATGTTCACGGCCTTGAACTGGGACCGTGAACTGGGCGCGACTGGGTATAAATAGAGAGCTGAAAAGAGGAAGAGAGAGCTTTTTAGTAGCTTTTTAGTGTGTAGAATAAAATGGTGTTTCTAGTGAGAGAATATGGTTTCCTCTTCCTATTCTAGAGAGAGTGCCATTCAAAGGAGAAAGAAGGAGATTCGGGCTGGCACTAAACTAGGGGAGTGAAGATTCTTACATCTCAAGAGAGATTCGAGCAAGGAGGAAGGAAGATTGTCATCTCTTCATGGTTCTTTCTCTCCTCTTTCTTGTTTTTCTTTGCCTAGCTATGGAATAGCCTACCTATTCACTTGGGTGTTGTGAACCCTAGCTACAATTATGTGAATGCTTGTATGAATTGAATGATTTGTATTGTGGTTGTGTTTAATGTGAATTTGGAGGTATTTTTCATGGTGATTGTGTGTGCTATGTTGCCCTAGTTTAGAGAGGAGACCTCCTTAGGTTAAGAGTTTGAATTAGAAATGGATGTTCTTGGGCATTGCATGCCTCCTAGGCTAGTTTAGAGATGAAACCTCCTTTATCCCAAGAGACTCAATTTGAGCTGGGTTTCCTTAGGCATTTAAGGCCTCCTAATTAAACTAGTTTAGAGAGAACCCTCCTTAACCTAAGAGACTATTAGAGATGGGTTTCCTTGGGCATTTCATGCCTCCTATTCTAGGTTAATTAAGGGCAAATCTCATATTTCGTATTAGCACTTAGGGTTTGGTTGTGGGTGGCCGTCCGAACTCCAATTCGAGGGTGAAGTCTAACCATTCCTTAGTCGATAGGTTGAGAGGGTCTCATTAGCATCTTGGATCATATATCATTTCCTCAGCCTAGAGACTAAGAGGGTAGCCTTGACAACTTGTTAGACTTTCCTGCGGTTTGTAACCCCCTGACCACACATGGTCGTTCGATTCTTCAAGTCGTAATTGTTAGCTAGGGGGAGCAACACCCGAGTGAACTCTTCTCTCATTGGGACGACCTCGGTTTACTTTACTTGCATGTTTTTATTTGTAGTTTTCTTAATTTTAAACCCAAAACCATTTTGCTAGATAACCTAAGCAATTGAAGTAGGGGTACATGGACTGACCCGGGTTTGACGATTAAATACTTTCCCTATACTGCATCCAGCAAGAATTTAAAAACTTGAACTCTAATCGAGATTGATTCGCGGTGTAGTTCCGTGAGAGTCACACATTAAATTCCTTAAAAGCTAGCATTTAACCCATGTTAAAGAGCTTCGAACAGTTGTGTTTATGGAGCAGGTTGGGCAGTAGGTGGGATGGTCAAGCAACATTCTCAGTAAAAAGTAAAGTGATCATGTGGTTAGAGTTGAATTAAGTCCTCTTCCCATAGGATGATGATAGAGATAGATTTGATGGGCATGTTGTTAGTAGCAGTGACGACTATGATGATGGAGATGATGACGATGATGAGACTTTGATGTAAATTCAAATTTTCATGTTGATTCCCTAAGGACAGCTTATGCTTCGCCAGAATCTCTTCTTCCTGCTAGCGAGCTATCCTTTGCTAGCTAGGGAATGCTTTCTCAATCCTTTGTTTGAAAGGCCCGCTCTCTTCGGGCAGGGCGGGCAGAAGGGTGAGATGCATACTTTTACTTTTGTCTGATGGATTTCTCTTGCCTGGATTAGGATAATGCTTGAAAACTGTCTTGCCCATTTCATCAAGACCTGCTTTGGGAATACTACTGCAAGTAAACTCTTGTTAGCAAGGTCTTAGGTCCGATCACATTCTTTACTCAAGTAAAGCGTTGGAGACCGGTAGACTAAAGCGCGTTAGCCCCTTCTATTTTTTAGTAAATAAAGAAACCTTTTGCGCTAGGCGCTCACGTTTTTTGCCTCCACTCGTCAATGGTCCCATGTTCTATTTTTTTATCTATAAGATAGATAGCACGATCTCCTAAAAGAGGAAGTTCGATCCAACTCTTTGATTAAGATACTACCAAGTGCACCTACCTGAAGAATGAGCTAACGCTGTTCTTCGAGGAGCGCTCTCTTCCGGTCTTCGAGACCGCGAATCTGGTCCCGAATCTGTTGCATAACTTGTGCTATGTCCTCCGGATTGATAGCAGGCAGATGCTCCCACAACAGACCAAGCAAATTACTCACATTCGAGCTTTTCCTCATCCGCTTGAGATATTTCTTGTGGAATAAGCGACACATTGACTTACAACTTTGAAAGATCAAAGTACCGTAATGTGATGATTCTATCTATACCAGCTGAGCTAACGTTATAGGATAGGTTTTGAGAATAGCCTATGTTCTCCGGGTAAGAGAAAGCCCTTGTTTCCCACTCTTGTCGAACTCTCCCCCTCTCACTTTGTTCGAGCATATTGATAACCTCTCCTTCTTGTTCTAATCAAATGCGAGCAACTTCGCACCTTCTCTTTACGAGCTATGGTTCATGCTAATGTGTATTTTCAACTAGTCTTGTATGTTTATGAACTTCCTTTTATAAATAAGACTTTAGTTTAAGAGCATTTCAATTTTGCTTACGAATGCTGATATTTTATAGTTATTTAAAATTTTATGTTGTTTATATCTAGCAAAAGGCTAAATTACAAGTTTGGTCACTCGAATTATATAAAATTTGCACGTTTGTCACTCAAATCACTTTTCTTTCTAATTCACCACTAACTTTACAAATAGTTTGACCGTTAGTCACCGAACGTTAGTCTCCGTCAGACTCCGTTAACTCCGTCAGTTTTTTAATGACGTGGCAAACTGAACTGCTGACTAGACCGTTACTTAATGACATGTCAATTTAAAAAAAAGTACAAAATAGGCAGAGGAGTCCCACCAGGCCTGCCTCGACCTCCCCTTCCTCCCCAGATTCCATTCTAATAAAGACGCCTCACCTCGCCTCCCCTCCCCAATTTCGCGGCGGTCATCCGGCCTCCAAACAACCCAATCATTTTGATATCTTCGCCTTGCGCCCAAATTCCAAAAGACGATTTTCAACTGGCCTCCTGCAGCCTCCCTCGCCGGACTACGCCTCCCACGAGAAAGTCGGGTATGCCAAGATGAAGGCCTCACCGTCCTTGTTGATTTTGAACGAGAATCCGGATCTCAGGGTGTCCGAGAGGGAGCTGCTCAAGGCTAGGGTGGAGAATCCTCCGGTTTTCTTCTCTCACTTCGCGAGCGGGTTGAGTCCCCGACTTGACCCTATCGACGGCGTAGATGCCAGTACGGTAACTCTCTGCTTCCTCTAGGCACCAAGCCAGCTTGTTATTTCTCCGCAATGTCTTCCAATTCGTCCTCCGAGATAACCGAGCTCTAAACCCAGACTCCGAGCTCCACCAATTCCTCCGATTGCAGCTCTTCGATTCCGGATGAAGCTGAAATCATAGTGAAGCTGAAAAGGCCCGAGGTAATGAACAGGAACAAGGCAGATTCAGCTGCGGAAGCTCAATAGGACCAGAGACGAAATCAGGGTCCGCTCTACACTGCTCGCCTTCTACTAGTACAGACATAGATTTCCACCTCAAGAAATCGTCTTCTGGAATTGGGGGATGAGTATGACCGCTGTGAAATTGGGGAGGTGAAGCGTCTTCCAGGATGGGGGAAGGCGAGGTCGAGCTAGACCTGGTGGGGGTACTCCTCTGCCTATTTTCGTCTTTCTTTTATTTTTATTTGACATTTCATTAAATTAACGGTCTAGTCAGCAGTCCCGTTTGCCACGTCATCAAAAAATTGACGGAGTTAACGGAGTCTGACGGAGACTAACGGCCGGTGACTAACGATGAAACTATTCGTAAAGTTAGTGGTGAATAAGAAAGAAAAGTAATTTGGGTGGCAAATGTGAAAATTTTATGTAATTTGAGTGACCAAACATGTAATTTAGCCTCTAGCAAAATATAAGTTTTAGTTGTAAGATTTATGATAATTTGCATGCTTCATAATTCATATAAACTTAAGTTAAGTTTTTACGGTTAAACTTATACCCATTATTTCGCTTATACATAAAACTATAATTTGAGTATTTGACTACGTCGGTCTTATAACCATCCAATCCAAGTCCTAAATATTAAGTGGAGAATCAATCTTATCTATAGTCCACCTATAAGTCTCATCTTAAGTTTTATTCCGTTAAACGGATCACATATAGGTTAGATTCCTGCCGAGATAGGACACTGCTCGAATTTAACCGCTCTTGATTTGATCAACAACCGGTTAAGCGATCCAATTCCTAAACCGCTGACTCACTTGACGAGTATAGTGTTCCCCGAACTGGATCATAGTTCAGTAACAGAGTCACCAGCTCCAGCAGTAGCAGTAGCAGTTCTCGATTTTTTGCATGCTTTGTTTTGATGGCTACGCGAACAGTGCCACGAGCTCCAGCAGTATAGCAATTCTTGATTCGGTTCTCGATTTTGGAATGCTCTGCTTGGGATACGCTATAAAAATCATAATGAATTGTCAACCAAGTGAAGAAATGGTGCTGCAGAGAAGTCCTGATGCTGTTAGGATTGCTACGAAGGAGAAGAAGTTTCATTTCCAGAAACGTTTCTATTCCAGTTTCATTATGTTTAGTTGCTTGTTACAAACGCTGCCGTTTTGCTTCAGTTTGTTAGCCGTTATTAAGCACTGTTATGTTTTGTAATAGCCAATGGCTTTCTGCCAGTTGGCAAACTCTGGAATGTTTTGATTAGCAGTACACTCTGCTATATAATGGAAGCAGAGGCAACTCTCCAAGCTTGAGGGTTTGCTAATTCTCCAAACCTAGTATTGTTATGGTATCAGAGCGGTCAAGCAACTAGGGCAAACCATGAACACGCCGCCGAGTTCAACACCGCCGCCGCCAGGTCCTGGAAATCGCCCAGCTTCTTCAGGAGGAAATGGATCTCAAGGATCTCAGGCAGCACAAGGAGCTCAAGCAGCAGAAGGCACTGGTCCCCATGCTTTCCAGTTCGGATCGTTTGATGAGCAGCAGCAACAACAACTCTTTGCTGGAGCTAGAAATGATGTCATAACCTTCGGTAATCCCTACTACCTGAATCCCAATGAAGCACTGAATCAATCCATAGGGTCAGAGGTCTTCGATGGTAGTAATTACACCATGTGGAGTCGTTCAATGATTATGGGTCTAAAGATGAAACATAAACTGGGTTTCATAGATGGTTCCATTCCTATGCCTCCTAGAACAAGTTCAAATTTCATACTGTGGGATGGTTGCAACACTGCTGTACTGTCTTGGATTCTTAACTCCTTGAACAAAGATCTAAGGAGATCTGTAATGAGTCATGTGAATGCTAGGGTTTTATGGGAGGAATTGAAGAGAAGGTATGCAAAACCAAATGCAATTAGGATTATTAACCTGGAGGATGATATTCACAAATGCAAGCAGGGAGCTCAGACCATAAATCAATATTACACTGAGATTAAAGGATTATGGGAAGAGTACTCACAGTTCAGTCCCATAGTGCCTTGCAATTGTGCTCCAGGAAACCCAAATCCATGTGATGCAGTGGTTGCTTACACTGAGAGGCAGGAAGCAGACTATTTGATCCGATTTCTGAGGGGTTTAAACCCTGATTTTGAGATAATCAAAACACAGCTGCTCTCACAAAAACCTTTGCCTACTGTCTCAGAAGCTGTTGATGACCTATTACTGTATGAGCAGAAGCTGAAAGGTGAGAAAGGGAACACTGGAAAGAAAGCACAGAGTGTTGCTCTAGCAGCAGGAGGACCAACTCAGGAATCAGGACAGAGAGGTCAAGGAAGAAAATACTGCATCTATTGTAAGAGGCCTGGACATGTTGTTGATGAGTGTTGGAGAGCTAAGAGGAAGAAGGAAGCTGATTCAAACAGTAGTTCTGGAGGGTCTCAAACAGGTGCACAAAGGTTTGCAGGGTCAGTTTCTCAGGCAAGTTCAGGGGATTCTTCCACTGAGGTAGGCTATAACAGTGATACACCAGATGGCAGTCCTGTTAGCCAGGCAAAAACAGTTGCTGCTTTTACTCCTGAGGAAATGAACAGGTTAAGGTTAATGATGCAAGCTGGTGCTAATCTAAGTCCCTCTCCTCCTCTTTCACCCTCCATCACACACAATGCCTACTCTGTGTCTCAATATCTGCCTCCTTTCCCAAACCACTCAGGTAAATTCATTCTTTCCTCCCACACTAGACAAAACCACTTAGATCCCATTACCTTATGGATCCTCGACACAGGAGCCTCAGATCACATATCATGTTCTTTATCACTGTTCACTGACCATAGAGCAGTGCATGATATGTTTGTTTATCTACCTAATACCACAAAAGTTCTAGTGACTCATATAGGAACTGTTAAATTACCCTCAGGACTTCTGCTATATAATGTTCTATTTGTTCCTAGCTTCTCCTTTAACCTTGTGTCAGTGAGCAAGCTCACTCATGATCATCCATTAGCCTTACATTTCCAATCTGATTTCTGCCAAATCCAGGACCTGCTAAGCATGAGGATGATTGGTTTAGCAAAAGAGAATAGAGGACTGTACCAGCTCACCTTTTCCAAACCAGACAAAGACCTATCACTTCCATCACAACCTCAAGCAGCCAGTTCCAGTTCTTTCAATTTCTGTCCACAACAACTAGATCTATGGCATTGGCGTTTAGGACATCCTAGTAGAGATAGGATTTCTTTGTTGCAACAAACAAATTCTTCTGTAACTAGTCCTAAGCTCAAACATTGTGATGTCTGCCATTTTTCAAAACACAAGAAACTTCCCTTTCCTGTTAGCACCAGTATTGCACATGATTTATTCCAGCTTGTTCATGTGGACATCTGGGGGCCTTTATCTGTTGTTTCTTATGATGGATATGCATATTTCTTAACTGTTGTGGATGATTGTTCAAGGGCTGTATGGGTTTTCTTGATGAGACACAAAAGTGAGGCCAGACCTCTTCTTAAAGGTTTCTGCACTTTGGTACAAAACCAGTTTGGCAAAAATGTTAAGGTGATCAGAAGTGACCAAGGTCAGGAGTTTAACATGTGTGATTTTTACATGGAACATGGGATAGAACATCAGATGTCCTGTATTGAGACTCCAGAACAGAATGCACGAGTTGAAAGGAAACACCAGCACATTTTAAATGTTGCTAGGTCACTTAGATTTCAGTCAGGACTACCCCTAATCTATTGGAGTGATTGCATTCTGCATGCAACCTACCTCATTAACAGACTGCCCACTCCAGTCCTTGACAACAAGTCTCCATATGAGATTTTGTACCAAAACCAACCTCCTCTTGCTCACCTTCGTGTGTTTGGATGTTTGTGCTATGCTAGCACTTTGATCAGTGGTAGAACTAAGTTTACACCTCGTGCTAGACAGTGTGTGTTGCTGGGTTTACCAGTGGGAATTAAGGGTTACAAGTTACTTGACCTGCAAACCAGGGAAGTGTTTGTCTCAAGGAATGTTGTTTTTCATGAATCTATACTACCCTTTAGAGTATCTTCAGAAACAGATTCCTCATCTTCTCCTGCAGAAGACTTGTCTTCCTCTTCTTCTCCCATCATTACTCCTGCACCACCTGTCTCAGTTCCCATTGCCAATACACCTGCTGTTGTTGACTCAGCCTGTGATTCAAGGGGGGATTGTAGTAATAGTAGTTCTGAGCCTTCACCTTATAATTTTTCGTCTGGAAATAGAAGTGATGAGTTTACTCCTGGCACAGAACTTGAACCTGAAATAGAACCACAGGCAGATTACCAGGAACCCACTGGTAGGCCTACAAGAAGAATTGCTCTCCCACAGAGGTATCAAGATTGTGAACTTGACCCTCAATTGCAGTTTGGAGCCTTTGGAGCTGGTGTGACTAGGCATCCAGTCACTTTCAATTTAGATCATCTCAATGCAGCAGACAAAACCTATGCATTGAGTATTCTAACTTGTGTGGAACCTAGAACTTACAGAGAAGCTATCCAAATTCTGGAATGGAGGAGAGCAATCAATGAAGAACTTGCAGCATTGGAGGCCAATCAAACATGGGAAATTGTGCCATTACCCCCAGATAAACATGTTGTGGGGAGTAAATGGGTTTTTAAACTCAAACTGAAGCCAGATGGAACAATAGAGAGGTATAAGGCCAGGCTGGTTGCTAAAGGCTTTACTCAGGTATATGGAATCGATCTTCTTGATACATATTCACCTGTTGCAAAAATTAACTCAGTGAAAGCCTTATTAGCAATTGCAGCAGTCAAAAACTGGACACTTGAACAGTTAGATGTTTCCAATGCTTTCTTGCATGGAGACTTAACTGAGGAAGTTTACATGGAGATCCCTAAAGGGGTGGAAATACCAGGATCAAGCAATGTGAGAATGGCCTGTAGATTAAAGAAGTCATTGTATGGTTTAAAGCAGGCTTCAAGGCAGTGGTTTTCCAAGTTGACAGGATTCCTACTGAAGAATGGTTTTTCACAGTCAAAGTCAGATTACTCTTTGTTTACTAAATGGATCCATGACAGAATTGTGGTGGTGCTAGTCTATGTGGATGACATTATTGTTGGAGGTAATGCACAGAAGGATATAGATCATATCAAGAGGTCTTTATGTGGTGAGTTCAAAGTTAAGTTGCTTGGTCCACTGAAATACTTCCTGGGATTGGAAGTGACAAGAACAGCAGAAGGATTGGCAGTATGTCAGAGGAAATATTGTATGGAGCTGTTGAATGATACTGGTTTTCTGGAGGCTAAAGGTTGCTCATCTCCATCTGATCCTAATGTGAAACTTGCAGCAGGACAAGGTAACAAGATGGAAGATCCAGAGTTGTATAGAAGGTTGGTTGGAAGGTTACACTACATTACTATAACCAGACCTGATCTAACATTCTCAGTTCAACAGCTTTGCCAATTTCAGAAGGACCCTTACAGTGATCATTTACAAGCAGCTCATAGAGTGCTTAGATACCTCAAGACATCTCCAGGACAAGGAATTTATTTCAGTAGCAAAGCAGAATTGAAACTCACTGGCTTCTGTGATTCTGATTGGGCCAGCTGCCCTGACACGAGGAGATCCACTACAGGCTATTGCACCTTCATTGGTAGATCCTTACTCACCTGGAAATCCAAGAAACAAACTACAGTCTCTAGATCCTCATCTGAAGCAGAGTACAGGGCTCTTGCCTTGCTTGTCTGTGAGATTGAATGGCTAAGGAGTTTGTTAGCCGAGTTAAGTGTTAAGATACCATTACCTGTGACTGTTTATTGTGATAACAGGTCTGCCATTCATATTGCTGAGAACCCGGTATTTCATGAAAGGACAAAGCATATCGAAATCGATATGCATGTCACCAGAGAAAGGATCAAGGATGGATTAGTTCAACTGCAGCATGTCAGCACAATCAATCAACTTGCTGACATCTTCACAAAGAGTCTTCATAGAGTGCGAGTTCAGGAGCTACTTGGCAAGTTGGGAGTCTTGACAGAAGCCACAACTTGAAGGGGGGTGTCAACCAAGTGAAGAAATGGTGCTGCAGAGAAGTCCTGATGCTGTTAGGATTGCTACGAAGGAGAAGAAGTTTCATTTCCAGAAACGTTTCTATTCCAGTTTCATTATGTTTAGTTGCTTGTTACAAACGCTGCCGTTTTGCTTCAGTTTGTTAGCCGTTATTAAGCACTGTTATGTTTTGTAATAGCCAATGGCTTTCTGCCAGTTGGCAAACTCTGGAATGTTTTGATTAGCAGTACACTCTGCTATATAATGGAAGCAGAGGCAACTCTCCAAGCTTGAGGGTTTGCTAATTCTCCAAACCTAGTATTGTTATGAATTGCGGTCTAATTCGTAACAAACCACTAGTTTATGCGGTTTGGTTTGACTTTGACCGATTCGATAACTTAGCGGTCGAACAAGCGGTGCGGTCCGATTAAGATGTGGTTCGGTGCGGTTTATATCAATGCGGTCCGAACCACACTGATGCCCACCCTAGTTCACAACAAGCTATCCGACCTGATTCATAGCGTCGATCACCAAGTTGACGTATAGGACCGGCGATCCGCCGCTGAGTTACTTTCTTCCAGGCTAACGACAACCGTCTGTCCTGCCCTTTTTACGGTATGGAATACTGGCATCTTTCATCGGCTAGATAGGTGTGTTCCTTGTTAGGTTATCCCCTGGACTAAGCCCATGGGTCGGAATATGGAGTGGGCTTGGGCTCATCAAATGCATTGGAAACCTGACAAGAAAACCATCCAAGTCCTTACCGTTTACGGATTCAGGTGGATTCAACCTGTAGTCCAAACTACAAGTCCCATGTTCAGTCTACAAAAACATAATGAAATGGACTTTGCCCTTCACGAAACTGACAGGGAGATCGTCCACCATTGTTCCCGAGCTTCATGAAACATACACAACATAGGTCTTGTAGCTCAGTCAAACTTCAAAAAACAACTCTGAAAGAAATCCTCATTCTGTCATCTATGGCCAAACCCTTCATTAGCAACATCATTATAAATGATTCAACTCAGTCAAAAATAAGAAAGCAAAGAATGGAAAAATAAACACATTCATCACTCTCTAGATTCAGAAAGTCGTAATTAGAATGGTTTCAATTCGAATTTTCACACTCGGGCTTATCATCGTCTCGTTAGCGGCTCTGATCCCATCGTCAAGCTCTGAGACGGACGCGGTGAAGCTATCGCTGGTAGGTTTCATGAAGAAGCTCGTGGGACCTGATTTCCCAACCCTAAATAACAACATTTCGGGCTGGGATATGGCGACCGACCCGTGTCGAAACCAGTGGCATGGAGTTCGCTGTGACACATCCGGATCCATAGTGGGGATTTTCCTCTCCGGATTTCGATTCTCCGGAGCTCTGGACACCGAACTACTCTGTTCTGTCGGGTCCCTTTTCTTGCTGAAACTGCAAAACAACACCATACGCGGACCGATTCCCGAAGAAATCGTGCGGTGCGGCAATCTAGCCATCCTCGATTTGAGCGACAACCGGTTTGTCGGTTCGATTCCTAACGAAATGGGGAGCCTTACGAATCTAACCACCCTCGATTTGAGCGGCAACCGGCTTTCTGGTCCGATTCCTGAAACCTTAGGAGACCTGACGAGCCTACTAATCCTGGACCTGCAAAACAACCAGCTTTCGGGCTCGATTCCTGAATCGATCACCAGGCCCACGTACAGGGCGAGCGGCCAGCCGCTGAGATTTTTCCGGGCCGAGAACAACCGGCTCACCGGCCCGATTCCGGAGTTCAAATTTGAGCTGTTGGCCAAATTCAACGTGTCCAACAACGATTTGAGTGGACCGATTCCTAACGGAGCTGCTGCCACCGGGTTTTTTGGAGCTGATTGTTTCATGGGTAATCCTGGTTTGTGCGGGGAGCCGTTGCCGTATTCGTGCCAGCAGCCGCCGGTTCAGAGCCGGGTTCCATCTGGGTCGCCTGGTCGGACTGAATTGGGGCTTTTGATGATGATGGTTTCTTCCATCCTGGGGGTTTCTCTTGTTTCTTTCTCGTTTCGATTCGTCTACTAATCACCC